AAATGACCAGCAGGTGGATGCACGCTCACTTCTGAATAAAGTATTGAAAAACATTTTCACTTCTGAAAGGTGTTTATTACACGCTTTATTTAATTATGCCATACCGAGGGAATGTCTGACAGATAATAGGGATTTTTTATATTTACAGAGTTTAGTTGAACTTCAGCTTCTGTGATCGTTGTGTCAGAAAGGTAACTAACAGTATTGTTTGCTGAGAATAAGCGCCTTTTGTCTTGCGAAGTAGTGATAAAAACACCAAATACTCCAGAAAGAGCCAGCTAGTTTTTTGCCAGAACAGGGGAGCACTCTTGCAGAAAAATGAATGACCAAATACTATTTTTCACTTTTTCTTTTAAATGTCACCAAAATTTCTTTAGATCATTCTATTTTCCCTTGGTTTCCACCATCTCCACCCCTCCCCACCCCCTCCACCGTGTAAATAAAATTCCTGCCTTGATTCACATTCCAACAAAAGTTTCTAAAAAATGGGGCCGAGTGATAAGTAACCAAGGCCCGTTTGAAAAGGTCGAATTTCGTATTTGCCATTTTAATTCAGTTACGTGGAAACACTGGTTCCCGCTCCTTTGCAATTATTCGGCACATGTGAAGTTCGACAATTGAAACGGGCCTAAGTGCAGCATCTCTGAGTTGCACACTCATACAAGGGTCTGTAATTTTTCCTGCTACTTGAGTCTCCTCTTTTGTGATATATAGAGCGTTTTCCTTCACGTGGCCAACATCAAGCCAATTTATTGGAACAAAAGAAAGCATTTGCATAAGAATAGAGTTCAACTAACGGTGGACTTGTTTGAAACACAAACATGGTTGCCTTTTCATTGTTTTGGAACACCAATAAGGCCTCGGTGACGTCACGTGAAAACGCTCTACTGGTTATTTGCGACTGGGTCTGTGTTGTGTCGAATAGCACTGTGGGAATGTTTTGGAACTAGTTTCCTTTTCCAACCTCGTGACAGCCAATAAAAGAAGCGGTAGCTAGCGTCCAAACTTCGACCTTATTCCAACCCAGTTTCTACCGAAATCTCAAAATGGCCAATTACCCGCCTAATATATTTTACGGAGAAGACTTACGTAGCAAGAAAACTTTAACTGACGGATGCTAACCCGGACAAGCACGTTCGGCACTCTATAAAATTACTATCTTAGCTTCACCAAAGAAATCACGCATCTCTGCTGATTTCTGCCCCGCGCAATTGATTATCTACATTTTGTTCAACCGAAAAAAATTCACGTAAACAAGAGACCGTCCTCTTGTTTTGAGCGTTTATATGTTCTATCTTCTTTTTGCTGCAAATGCATCAACATCTAATATTCCATTCTTATCTGTCCTTTTTCGCGGTCCATCATCTCGATCCGGATTTTCCAAAATCACAAGGGAAATAAGCACAACTGCCGAAAGTAAACATGTACCAATCACTTAAAGTTGCTCCGTAATCCTGCTCGAGGCATCGCGTTTTTGTTTGTTTCACTCGTAAGTAAATCACAAATTCTCGACATTGAAGGTATGGGAGTCACTGTGTGTGCATCTCATGCATAAAACTTGAACAAGTCTCTGTGTTCAGGATGCGGTTTGCTCGCAGTTTTAACGAGGGTCTTGCGGGGATTCGACGTTATACGCCAACGGCCCATTAGCTTTCTGCTTCTAATGCCTGTTTTAAGGATTCCTGGTGAAGTTCGGTCAGTTGGCCCACACACGCCGTCCACATATCCGCAGCACTCTGCGAAAAGTGCGTAACACAAAATACATAAACACGAGAGGCAGTGTTTCACCACGTTTTCCTTTGTCTTTGAGATTGAGATATTTAAGTCAGTAAAACTTAAATCAAAAATCTGAATTAATTTTATACTTTATTACACATAGAGAGTCCTATATTTTAAATTTAATGAGAAATTTTTCTTACCATTACTGGAAGAATTTATCGAAGACGGCGTGGAAAAATTACCTATTGGTATTTGGTAAATTTTAAGTTGGTTTGTTTCATGTTTATTGTGGACACTTGAGCGTTATTGTAGCCCGTCGCCAAATAAAGCGATAAATGAATCCTATTCCTGAAAGTAAGCTTGTGTTTTATAAATCAAACTTTGTTCATATCTATCGTTATTCTTACTTGAATTTGCCGTATTATGGAAAGAACCCTTTTTCTGGACGCTTCATTGTCGCTAAGAACATCATTTACAAACACTTCGCCAAAAATTTGAAGTATTCGAGGAAGGTTACTGTTATTCGCACCAAGAGCAAGAGGATTATTCCTGTTTGAGAAAGAAACAGTAACGTGATAAGCACTGATAAAAAAGACACTCCTTGTGACAACAACAAGGTTTTCTTCTCCGGGTTTTCTAATATTTGGTACGAAAGTCGAACGAAACAGGTTTTAGCCTGTTCCAGGCTCCGAGATAGTGGTGAAAAGTCGTTCAGTAAAAAGAAATGCGAAAACGCGCGGGGGCTGGGGAGAGACAGGGTCGCGCGCGTCTTATTTTCGCTTTGCTCGTTTTAATACGTCCGCACTATTGTATCTGAGAGCCTGGCAAAAGCTAAACAGGTAGAGACTCGACTACCAAGCGCTGATCGGAAAATGAGCTCAGCGCTCCTTTCGGGAGGAACAAGAACTTGTTCGAGAACGGAGGAAATCGAGCTTAATATTCAAATGTATTGTTATCACATTTGCCTAGATGCAGCATTCACAGGAGAAGAAATGATTTCCAAACAAATAAACAAACAAACGCATTAACAAGAAATCAGAGTCAAATCAACGGGACCAATGCGGGAAGCCAGTCGCCAGCAGATAAGTAAAAAGCGCGGGAAGCCAGTGGCCAGCAGGTCAATCGAGCGGGAAGCCAGTAGTCAGCAGGTCAGTCAAAAGCGCAGGAAGCCAGTGGCCAGCCGATCAATCAAAAGCGCGGGAAACCCGTGGCCAGCTGCTCAGTCAAACGTGCAGGAAGCCAGTGGCCAGCAGGTCAGTCAAAAGCGCGGGAAGCCAGGGGCTAGCTGGTCAGTAACAGTTTAAATATTCAAAATCAAAAGGCAATAATCGAAATCGAATCGAGCCAAATCGAAAGGTATCGGTACGACCCCGTTTTCGTATAATTTGGGAAACGTAGCAAATACAGCAAATAAAGAGATCAGACCAGGCGTCAAGGCAATTCCAGTCGCTTTTTATAAATTATTTTAGAGATCACAAAAGCCGAATTCACTGATTTTTTAATCATGACAGGTGCACCTGAGAGGTTTCATGTGGGGCTGTCACTGGGAAAATTTTGGTGGTCGCTTGCTTATTGGAGGTGGTCGCATGTGGAGGTTCGACTGAAGC